TCCGAAAATGGCGGCTGACATGTGCGGCGACGGAGCGGGGATGTCTGGGAAGGCGCGCAGACAAGGCGCGCTGACCCATAATGCATTCCTCAACGACATGTGATCGCATCAGCCAATCAGCAGCCAGCCAGCTAGCACTGTGTAATGGTCGAGCTATAAATAGCGGCCATTTTGGAATTCTTCATTTGCCTGCAGTCATTGAACAGAGGCAGACCGCTCTGTATTAGGGACAGGGACAGAGTTAGGGCCACAGAAACGATACTTGGGGACACAGAGAAACGATACTTAGGGACAGAGAACTATTACTCAGGGACACAGAATTGTTAATTAGGGCCACAGAATCGTTACTTAGGGACAAAGAAACGCAGTTAGGGCCACAGAATTCATACTCAGGGACAGACAGAATTGTTACTGAGTGCCAGAGAATTGTTACTTAGGGCCACAGAAACGTTATTAGGGCCACAGAATTGTTACTCAGGGACAGACAGAATTGTTACTGAGTGCCAGAGAATTGTTACTTAGGGCCACAGAAACGTTATTAGGGCCACAGAATTGTTACTCAGGGACAGACAGAATTGTTACTGAGTGCCAGAGAATTGTTACTTAGGGCCACAGAAACTTTAGTTAGGGCCACAGAATTGTTACTCAGGGACAGACACAGAATTGTTACTGAGGGCCACAGAACTGTTACTTAGGGCCACAGAATTGTTACTCGCACAGACACAGAATTGTTACTCAGGGACACAGAATTGTTACTGAGGGCCACAGAACTGTTACTTAGGGCCACAGAATTGTTACTCGCACAGACACAGAATTGTTACTCGCACAGACACAGAATTGTTACTCGCACAGCACAGAATTGTTACTGAGGGCCACAGAACTGTTACTTAGGGCCACAGAATTGTTACTCGCACAGACACAGACACAGAATTGTTACTCGCACAGACACAGAATTGTTACTGAGGGCCACAGAACTGTTACTTGGGGCCACAGAAACGTTACTCGCAGGGACACAGAATTGTTACTGAGGGCCACAGAACTGTTACTTAGGGCCACAGAATTGTTACTCGCACAGACACAGAATTGTTACTCAGGGACACAGAACTGTTACTGAGGGCCACAGAACCGTTACTTAGGGCCACACAGAATTGTTACTCGCACAGACACAGAATTGTTACTCGCACAGGGACACAGAATTGTTACTCGCACAGACACAGAATTGTTACTCGCACACAGAATTGTTACTCAGAGGACACAGAATTGTTACTGAGGGCCACAGAACTGTTACTTAGGGCCACAGAATTGTTACTCGCACAGACACAGAATTGTTACTCGCACAGACACAGAATTGTTACTCAGGGACACAGAACTGTTACTTAGGGCCACAGAACTGTTACTTAGGGCCACAGAATTGTTACTCGCACAGACACAGAATTGTTACTCGCACAGACACAGAATTGTTACTGAGGGCCACAGAACTGTTACTTGGGGCCACAGAAACGTTAATCAGGGACACAGAATTGTTACTGAGGGCCACAGAACTGTTACTTAGGGCCACAGAATTGTTACTCGCACAGACACAGAATTGTTACTCGCACAGACACAGAATTGTTACTGAGGGCCACAGAACTGTTACTTGGGGCCAGAACTGTTACTTGGGGGACACAGAAACGTTGTTACTCAGGGACACAGAATTGTTACTGAGGGCCACAGAAAACTGTTACTTAGGGCCACAGAATTGTTACTCGCACAGACACAGAATTGTTACTCGGGGGACAGAATTGTTACTGAGGGGCCACAGAACTGTTACTTAGGGCCACAGAATTGTTACTCGCACAGACACAGAATTGTTACTCGCACAGACACAGAATTGTTACTCAGGGGGCCACAGAAACTGTTACTGAGGGCCACAGAACTGTTACTTAGGGCAGACAGAATTGTTACTCGCACAGACACAGAATTGTTACTCGCACAGACACAGAATTGTTACTCAGGGACACAGAAATGTTACTGAGGGCCACAGAACTGTTACTTAGGGCCACAGAAATTGTTACTCGCACAGGCCACAGAATTGTTACTCGCACAGGGACACAGAATTGTTACTGAGGGGCCACAGAACCGTTACTTAGGGCCACAGAATTGTTACTCAGGGCACAGAAACTTGTTACAGGGCCACAGAATTGTTACTTAGGGCCACAGAATTGTTACTCGGGCAGGCCACAGAATTGTTACTCGCACAGCACAGAATTGTTACTCAGGGCCACAGAATTGTTACTTAGGGCCACAGAATTGTTACTCGCAGGGCACAGAATTGTTACTCGCACACTCAGGGACACAGAACTTGTTACTGAGGGCCACAGAACTGTTACTTGTTACTTAGGGCCACAGAATTGTTACTCGCACAGACACAGAATTGTTACACAGGGACACAGAATTGTTACTGAGGGCCACAGAACCGTTACTTAGGGCCACAGAAACAGACACAGTTACTCAGGGACACAGAATTGTTACTGAGGGCCACAGAAATTGTTACTTTAGGGCCACAGAATTGTTACTCAGACACAGAATTGTTACTCAGACACACAGAATTGTTACTGAGGGCCACAGAACTGTTACTTAGGGCCACAGAATTGTTACTCGCACAGGACACAGAATTGTTACTGAGGGCACAGAAACTGTTACTTAGGGCCACAGAATTGTTACTCGCACAGACACAGAATTGTTACTCAGGGACACAGAATTGTTACTGAGGGCCACAGAACTGTTACTTAGGGCCACAGAATTGTTACTCGCACAGACACAGAATTGTTACACAGGGACACAGAATTGTTACTGAGGGCACAGAACTGTTACTTAGGGCCACAGAATTGTTACTCGCACAGACACAGAATTGTTAGGGACACAGAATTGTTACTGAGGGCCACAGAAACTGTTACTTAGGGGCCACAGAATTGTTACTCAGGGACACAGAATTGTTACTGAGGGCCACAGAACAGAATGTTACTTAGGGCCACAGAATTGTTACTCGCACAGGCCACAGAATTGTTACTCAGGACACAGAATTGTTACTGACAGGCCACAGAACTTGTTACTTAGGGCCACAGAATTGTTACTCGCACAGACACAGAATTGTTACTCGCACAGACACAGAATTGTTACTCAGGGACACAGAACTGTTACTGAGGGCCACAGAATTGTTACTTAGGGACACAGAATTGTTACTCGAGAATTGTTACTCAGCAGACACAGAATTGTTACTGAGGGCCACAGAACAGAATTGTTACTTAGGGCCACAGAATTGTTACTCGCAGGGCCACACAGAATTGTTACTTGAGGGGGCCACAGAACTGTTACTTAGGGCCACAGAATTGTTACTCGCACAGGGGACAGAATTGTTACTCAGGGACACAGAATTGTTACTGAGGGCCACAGAAGAACTTACTTAGGCCACAGAATTGTTACTCGCACAGACACAGAATTGTTACTCAGGGACACAGAAAAATGTTACTGAGGGCCACAGAACTGTTACTTAGGGCCACAGAATTGTTACTCGCACAGACACAGAATTGTTACTCAGGGACACAGAATTGTTACTGAGGGGGCACAGAACCGTTACTTAGGGCCACAGAATTGTTACTCAGGGCACACAGAATTGTTACTGAGGGCCACAGAACTGTTACTTAGGGCCACAGAATTGTTACTCGCACAGACACAGAATTGTTACTCAGGGACAGACACAGAATTGTTACTGAGGGCCACAGAACTGTTACTTAGGGCCACAGAATTGTTACTCGCACAGACACAGAATTGTTACTCAGGGGACACAGAATTGTTACTGAGGGCCACAGAACTTGTTACTTAGGGCCACAGAATTGTTACTGCACAGACACAGAATTGTTACTCAGGGACACAGAACTGCAGAACAGAATTGTTACTGCCACAGAAACCACAGAACTGTTACTACAGGGCCACAGAATTGTTACTCAGTTACTCTTACACAGGGACACAGAATTGTTACTCAGGGACACAGAACTGTTACTGAGGGCCACAGAACTGTTACTTAGGGCCACAGAATTGTTACTCGCACAGACACAGAATTGTTACTCAGGGCCACAGAATTGTTACTGAGGGCCACAGAAATTGTTTACTCAGGGACACAGAATTGTTACTTAGGGCACAGAAATTGTTACTTACTCAGGCACACTTAGAACAGAATTACTCGCACAGGGTGCACAGAATTGTTACTCAGGGACACAGAACTGTTACTGAGGGGACCACAGAACTGTTACTTAGGGCCACAGAATTGTTACTCGCACAGACACAGAATTGTTACACAGGGAGGGCAGAGATTGTTACTGAGGGCCACAGAATTGTGTTACTTACTTAGGGACACAGAATTGTTACTGAGGGCCACAGAACTGTTACTTTAGGGCCACAGACTATTGTTACTCGCACAGACACAGAATTGTTACTCAGGGGCACACAGAACTGTTACTGAGGGCCACAGAACCGTTACTTAGGGCCACAGAATTGTTACTCAGGGACACAGAATCGTTTTAATTAAAGAGTATGTCAGACAACATGCAGAGGAGTGGCAGAGGAGGCAATGTTTTAGGAGCGAGCAGAGACGTGGCAGCAGAGGAAGGGGTCGAGGCAGGCAGCACTATTCGCAGCCAGAGGCTAGTGCTCCCGGGTGTCATCCAGTACAGTGAGGAAGAGCTAACAGAGGGCGGTCAGGAACGGGGGGAGACATCCGCCTCTTCAGCAGCCAGGCGAAGAAGTAGTGGCGAGGAGAGTGGCTCGGTAGCCGGTGTAGAGACAGGTCTGTCTCCTGACCCACACGCAGCCGAGGGGGCTAGTAGTGAGGCGGAGACCCTAATTGATGATGATGAGGGGCTGATCGCACTTGGCAGCCTCGTCGTCATCAGGCTATTGCTTCCGCATCATCAGGAGAAGAGGGGGTGGCAGCTTGGCAGCGAGCAAAAAACAGTCGGTGGTGGGTTGTCTCCATCGCCACACTCTGCCATGTGCCACTTTCAGGTCTCCTCACACACTGCTGGTGTGTTGAAATTTTTTGACATAGGGTGCTGGCAGATTACGGGCCTCCCATAGCTGCTGCCAGGCCCCTAATCTGCCATGGGCCCCCCTACCGCCTCCTCATGCTGCTGCCAGGTCCACTGTCTCTGGGTCATGCCTCCATGTGCCACTTCTGGTGCCACTTTCAGGTCTCACACACTGCTGGTGTGTTGAATTTTTTGACATGACAGGGTGCTGGCAGATTACGGGCCTCCCATAGCTGCTGCTGCAGGCCCCCTAATCTGCCATGGGCCCCTATATACCGCCTCCTCATGCTGCTGCCAGGTCCAGAGTCTCTCATGGGTCCCTGTACGGCCTCCCATTGCTGCTGTCTCCATCGCCACACTCTGCCATGTGCCACTTTCAGGTCTCCTCACACACTGCTGGTGTGTTGAATTTTTTGACATAGGGTGCTGGCAGATTACGGGCCTCCCATAGCTGCTGCCAGGCCCCTAATCTGCCATGGGCCCCTATATACCGCCTCCTCATGCTGCTGCCAGGTCCAGAGTCTCTCATGGGTCCCTGTACGGCCTCCCATTGCTGCTGTCTCCATCGCCACACTCTGCCATGTGCCACTTTCAGGTCTCCTCACACACTGCTGGTGTGTTGAATTTTTTGACATAGGGTGCTGGCAGATTACGGGCCTCCCATAGCTGCTGCCAGGCCCCTAATCTGCCATGGGCCCCTATACCGCCTCCTCATGCTGCTGCCAGGTCCAGAGTCTCTCATGGGGGTCCCTGTACGGCCTCCCATTGCTGCTGTCTCCATCGCCACACTCTGCCATGTGCCACTTTCAGGTCTCCTCACACACTGCTGGTGTGTTGAATTTTTTGACATAGGGTGCTGGCAGATTACGGGCCTCCCATAGCTGCTGCCAGGCCCCTAATCTGCCATGGGCCCCTATATACCGCCTCCTCATGCTGCTGCCAGGTCCAGAGTCTCTCATGGGTCCCTGTACGCCTCCCATTGCTGCTGTCTGCTGTCTCCATCGCCACACTCTGCCATGTGCCACTTTCAGGTCTCTCTCACACACTGCTGGTGTGTTGAATTTTTTGACATAGGGTGCTGGCAGATTACGGGCCTCCCATTGCTGCTGCCAGGCCCCTAATCTGCCATGGGCCCCTATATACCGCCTCCTCATGCTGCTGCCAGGTCCAGAGTCTCTCATGGGTCCCTGTACGGCCTCCCATTGCTGCTGTCTCCATCGCCACACCACACTGTGCCATGTGCCACTTTCAGGTCTCTCTCTCACACTGCTGGTGGTGTGTAGAATTTTTTGACATAGGGTGCTGGCAGATTACGGGCCTCCCATAGCTGCTGCCAGGCCCCTAATCTGCCATGGGCCCCTATACCGCCTCCTCCTGCTGCCATGCTGCTGCCAGGTCCAGAGTCTCTCATGGGTCCCTGTACGGCCTCCCATTGCTGCTGTCTCCATCGCCACACTCTGCCATGTGCCACTTTCAGGTCTCCTCACATGCTGGTGTGTAGAATTTTTTGACATAGGGTGCTGGCAGATTACGGGCCTCCCATAGCTGCTGCCAGGCCCCTAATCTGCCATGGGCCCCTATATACCGCCTCCTCATGCTGCTGCCAGGTCCAGGTCTCTCATGGGTCCCTGTACGGCCTCCCCATTGCTGCTGTCTCCATCGCCACACTCTGCCATGTGCCACTTTCAGGTCTCCTCACACACTGCTGGTGTGTTGAATTTTTTGACATAGGGTGCTGGCAGATTACGGGCCTCCCATAGCTGCTGCCAGGCCCCTAATCTGCCATGGGCCCCTATACCGCCTCCTCATGCTGCTGCCAGGTCCAGGCGAACGTAGTCATGGGTCACAGGGGAGGAACTTCTGAGTGTAATGAACAGAGAAATCTCGACAGATGGCTGTCTCCGCGCCATGTGCCACTGAAAATCGGAACCATGTTGACCGACAACGGAAAGAACATGGTGTCTGCTCTGCGTCAAGGAAGGTTTGTGCCATGCGCCATGCATGGCTCACGTGTTCAATCTGGTTGTCAAGCGGTTCCTAAAATCCACCATCCCACTGCAAGACATCCTTAAAATGTCACGTAAACTTTGCATGCATTTCAGCCATTCCTACACCGCAAAGCACACCCTCCTTGAGCTGCAGCGGCACAGAATGGAATTCCACATCATCGCCTGATCTGCGACGTTGCAACAAGGTGGAATTCAACCCTACACATGTTAGACCGCCTTTACGAGCAGCGAAAGGCCATCACCGATTTCCTGATGTTACAAGCGGATAAAGGTACTCCCCTGTGTAACTTCGATGTCAGCCATTGGCAGCTCATGCGTGACACCTGCCGCTTGCTCAGGCCCTTTGAGGAGGCCACGCTATTCGTGAGTCGGCAGGACTATGGGATGAACGACGTCATTCCTCTGTTGCACGTCCTTGAACAAATGCTGTTAACAATGGCTGGTCAGGGTGCGGTAGACGTGCCATGTGGCGCACAGATCTCAACGCCACATGACCCCTGTGGGGGCAGGACAGGAAGAAGAGGAGGAGGTAGAGGAGGACATTTGTGCTCAGGAATTATTGAGTGAAATGGGTGGTTTTTCCACTCAGCGGACAGGAGTGGAGGAGCAGGAGCATCTGGTAGAGGAGGAGGAGGAGGAGACAGAGGACCCAGACGCACCGTGGCAGTATGCTGTGGAGATGGAGGCAGGGAGTCCCTCGCATTCCTTGGCACAAATGGCCCATAGCATGCTCGGTTGCTTGCGTAGCGACAGCCGAATAATAACCATCAGACAGAGGGATGACTTTTGGCTGTCCACCTTGTTGGACCCTCGCTACCGTTCAAAAATGGTGGCCTTTTTCACACCTGCTGAGAGGGAGGCCAAAATAACGTACTATAAAAACCACCTATGTAGTCAGTTGGTCTCTGCCTTTGTGCGCCAACGTCCATCCTCAGACACTGTGGGCCCTGTGCGCTCGCGTTCCGCTGCCATGGCAGCAGGGGAGGGGTGGGGGGGTGGGTAGGAGCAGTGGCAGCTCCACCAGCAGCGGCTGCCTCAGTCTGCAGTCGATGATGAGTAGCTTTCTTCACCAGCGCAGTGAGGAAACTACTAACCAGCCGCAGCAGCAGCAGCAGCAGCAGCAGGTGGACCTGGAGCAGGACCTCAAACAACAGGCTTGGGCCTACTTGGACAGCACCCTGCCAACCGAGGTAGACAATCCCCTTGACTATGACTACTGGTCAACGAAACTTGACCTTTGGCCCCAACTAGCTGAATTTGCCCTTGAAAGGCTGTCATGCCCGGCCAGTTAGCGTGGCATCGGAGCGCGTGTGTTTAGTGCGGCAGGAGGTATTGTAACTCCGCGGAGGACACGACTGTCCACCCAAAGTGTGGAGAGACTCACGTTTGTGAAAATGAATCAGGCGTGGATTAGTCTGGATTTCAAACCACCAGTTCCTGACACAACTGACTAAAATGCTGTCTCCGCCATGAATCATGCCTCAAACATGTGCCACTTTCAGGTCTCCTCACACACTGCTGGTGTGTTGAATTTTTTGACATAGGGTGCTGGCAGATTACGGGCCTCCCATAGCTGCTGCCAGGCCCCTAATCTGCCATGGGCCCCTATATACCGCCTCCTCATGCTGCTGCCAGGTCCAGAGTCTCTCATGGGTCCCTGTACGGCCTCCCATTGCTGCTGTCTCCATCGCCACACTCTGCCATGTGCCACTTTCAGGTCTCCTCACACACTGCTGGTGTGTTGAATTTTTTGACATAGGGTGCTGGCAGATTACGGGCCTCCTATATAGCTGCTGCCAGGCCCCTAATCTGCCATGGGCCCCTATATACCGCCTCCTCATGCTGCTGCCAGGTCCAGAGTGTCTCATCATGGGTCCCTGTACGGCCTCCCATTGCTGCTGTCTCCATCGCCACACTCTGCTGGTGTGCCACTTTCAGGTCTCCTCACACTGCTGGTGTGTTAGAATTTTTTTGACATAGGGTGCTGGCAGATTACGGGGTCCTATAGCTGCTGCCAGGCCCCTAATCTGCCATAGGCCCCTATATACCGCCTCCTCATGCTGCTGCCAGGTCCAGAGTCTCTCATGGGTCCCTGTACGGCCTCCCATTGCTGCTGTCTCCATCGCCACACTCTGCCATGTGCCACTTTCAGGTCTCCTCACACTGCTGGTGTGTTCAATTTTTTGACATAGGGTGCTGGCAGATTACGGGCCTCCCATAGCTGCTGCCAGGCCCCTAATCTGCCATATGGCCCCTATATACCGCTCCTCATGCTGCTGCCAGGTCCAGAGTCTCTCATGGGTCCCTGTACGGCCTCCCATTGCTGCTGTCTCCATCGCCACACTCTGCCATGTGCCACTTTCAGGTCTCCACACACACTGCTGGTGTGTAGAATTTTTTGACATAGGGTGCTGGCAGATTTACGGGCCTCCCATAGCTGCTGCTGCCAGGCCCCTAATCTGCCATGGGCCCCTATATACCGCCTCCTCATGCTGCTGCCAGGTCCAGAGTCTCTCATGGGTCCCTGTACGGCCTCCCATTGCTGCTGTCTCCATCGCCACACTCTGCCATGTGCCACTTTCAGGTCTCCTCACACACTGCTGGTGTGTAGAATTTTTTGACATAGGGTGCTGGCAGATTACGGGCCTCCCATAGCTGCTGCCAGGCCCCTAATCTGCCATGGGCCCCTATATACCGCCTCCTCATGCTGCTGCCAGGTCCAGAGTCTCTCATGGGTCCCTGTACGGCCTCCCATTGCTGCTGTCTCCATCGCCACACTCTGCCATGTGCCACTTTCAGGTCTCCTCACACTGCTGGTGTGTAGAATTTTTTGACATAGGGTGCTGGCAGATTACGGGCCTCCCATAGCTGCTGCCAGGCCCCTAATCTGCCATAGGCCCCTATATACCGCCTCCTCATGCTGCTGCCAGGTCCAGAGTCTCTCATGGGTCCCTGTACGGCCTCCCATTGCTGCTGTCTCCATCGCCACACTCTGCCATGTGCCACTTTCAGGTCTCCTCACACACTGCTGGTGTGTGTAGAATTTTTTGACATAGGGTGCTGGGCAGATTACGGGCCTCCCATAGCTGCTGCCCAGGCCCCTAATCTGCCATGGGCCCCTATATACCCGCCTCCTCCTCATGCTGCTGCCAGGTCCAGAGTCTCTCATGGGTCCCTGTACGGCCTCCCATTGCTGCTGTCTCCATCGCCACACTCTGCCATGTGCCACTTTCAGGTCTCCTCACACTGCTGGTGTGTAGAATTTTTTGACATAGGGTGCTGGCAGATTACGGGCCTCCCATAGCTGCTGCCAGGCCCCTAATCTGCCATAGGGCCCCTATATACCGCCTCCTCATGCTGCTGCCAGGTCCAGAGTCTCTCATGGGTCCCTGTACGGCCTCCCATTGCTGCTGTCTCCATCGCCACACTCTGCCATGTGCCACTTTCAGGTCTCCTCACACACTGCTGGTGTGTAGAATTTTTTGACATAGGGTGCTGGCAGATTACGGGCCTCCCATAGCTGCTGCCAGGCCCCTAATCTGCCATAGGCCCCTATATACCGCCTCCTCATGCTGCTGCCAGGTCCAGAGTCTCTCATGGGTCCCTGTACGGCCTCCCATTGCTGCTGTCTCCATCGCCACACTCTGCCATGTGCCACTTTCAGGTCTCCTCACACACTGCTGGTGTGTGTTAGAATTTTTTGACATAGGGTGCTGGCAGATTTACGGGCCTCCCATAGCTGCTGCCAGGCCCCTAATCTGCCATGGGCCCCTATATACCGCCTCCTCCTCATGCTGCTGCCAGGTCCAGAGTCTCTCATGGGTCCCTGTACGGCCTCCCATTGCTGCTGTCTCCATCGCCACACTCTGCCATGTGCCACTTTCAGGTCTCCTCACACACTGCTGGTGTGTAGAATTTTTTGACATAGGGTGCTGGCAGATTACGGGCCTCCCATAGCTGCTGCCAGGCCCCTAATCTGCCATGGGCCCCTATATACCGCCTCCCCCTCATGCTGCTGCCAGGTCCAGAGTCTCTCATGGGTCCCTGTACGGCCTCCCATTGCTGCTGTCTCCATCGCCACACTCTGCCATGTGCCACTTTCAGGTCTCCTCACACACTGCTGGTGTGTAGAATTTTTTGACATAGGGTGCTGGCAGATTACGGGCCTCCCATAGCTGCTGCCAGGCCCCTAATCTGCCATAGGCCCCTATATACCGCCTCCTCATGCTGCTGCCAGGTCCAGAGTCTCTCATGGGTCCCTGTACGGCCTCCCATTGCTGCTGTCTCCATCGCCACACTCTGCCATGTGCCACTTTCAGGTCTCCTCACACACTGCTGGTGTGTAGAATTTTTTGACATAGGGTGCTGGCAGATTACGGGCCTCCCATAGCTGCTGCCAGGCCCCTAATCTGCCATGGGCCCCTATATACCGCCTCCTCATGCTGCTGCCAGGTCCCAGAGTCTCATGGGTCCCTGTACGGCCTCCCATTGCTGCTGTCTCCATCGCCACACTCTGCCATGTGCCACTTTCAGGTCTCCTCACACTGCTGGTGTGTAGAATTTTTTGACATAGGGTGCTGGCAGATTACGGGCCTCCCATAGCTGCTGCCAGGCCCCTAATCTGCCAAGGCCCCTATATACCGCCTCCTCATGCTGCTGCCAGGTCCAGAGTCTCTCATGGGTCCCTGTACGGCCTCCCATTGCTGCTGTCTCCATCGCCACACTCTGCCATGTGCCACTTTCAGGTCTCCTCACACACTGCTGGTGTGTAGAATTTTTTTTTGACATAGGGTGCTGGCAGATTACGGGCCTCCCATAGCTGCTGCCAGGCCCCTAATCTGCCATAGGCCCCTATACCGCCTCCTCATGCTGCTGCCAGGTCCAGAGTCTCTCATGGGTCCCTGTACGGCCTCCCATTGCTGCTGTCTCCATCGCCACACTCTGCCATGTGCCACTTTCAGGTCTCCTCACACACTGCTGGTGTGTAGAATTTTTTGACATAGGGTGCTGGCAGATTACGGGCCTCCCATATAGCTGCTGCCAGGCCCCTAATCTGCCATGGGCCCCTATATACCGCCTCCTCATGCTGCTGCCAGGTCCAGAGTCTCATGGGTCCCTGTACGGCCTCCCATTGCTGCTGTCTCCATCGCCACACTCTGCCATGTGCCACTTTCAGGTCTCCTCACACTGCTGGTGTGTAGAATTTTTTGACATAGGGTGCTGGCAGATTACGGGCCTCCTATAGCTGCTGCCAGGCCCCTAATCTGCCATAGGCCCCTATATACCGCCTCCTCATGCTGCTGCCAGGTCCAGTCTCTCATGGGTCCCTGTACGGCCTCCCATTGCTGCTGCTGTCTCCATCGCCACACTCTGCCATGTGCCACTTTCAGGTCTCCTCACACACTGCTGGTGTGTAGAATTTTTTGACATAGGGTGCTGGCAGATTACGGGCCTCCCATAGCTGCTGCCAGGCCCCTAATCTGCCATGGGCCCCTATATACCGCCTCCTCATGCTGCTGCCAGGTCCAGAGTCTCTCATGGGTCCCTGTACGGCCTCCCATTGCTGCTGTCTCCATCGCCACACTCTGCCATGTGCCACTTTCAGGTCTCACACACTGCTGGTGTGTAGAATTTTTTGACATAGGGTGCTGGCAGATTACGGGCCTCCCATAGCTGCTGCCAGGCCCCTAATCTGCCATAGGGCCCCTATATACCGCCTCCTCATGCTGCTGCCAGGTCCAGAGTCAGAGTCTCTCATGGGTCCCTGTACGGCCTCCCATTGCTGCTGTCTCCATCGCCACACTCTGCCATGTGCCACTTTCAGGTCTCCTCACACACTGCTGGTGTGTTGAGAATTTTTTGACATAGGGTGCTGGCAGATTACGGGCCTCCCATAGCTGCTGCTGCCAGGCCCCTAATCTGCCATGGGCCCCTATATACCGCCTCCTCATGCTGCTGCCAGTCCAGAGTCTCTCATGGGTCCCTGTACGGCCTCCCATTGCTGCTGTCTCCATCGCCACACTCTGCCATGTGCCACTTTCAGGTCTCCTCACACACTGCTGTGTGTGTAGAATTTTTTGACATAGGGTGCTGGCAGATTACGGGCCTCCCATAGCTGCTGCCAGGCCCCTAATCTGCCATGGGCCCCTATACCGCCTCCTCATGCTGCTGCCAGGTCCAGAGTCTCTCATGGGTCCCTGTACGGCCTCCCATTGCTGCTGTCTCCATCGCCACACTCTGCCATGTGCCACTTTCAGGTCTCCTCACACTGCTGGTGGGTTCCATTTTTTGTCATAGGGTGCTGGCAGATTACGGGCCTCCCATAGCTGCTGCCAGGCCCCTAATCTGCCATGGGCTTCCGTACCGACTCCTCATGCTGCTGCCAGGCCTGTAATCTGTCATGGGCCCCTGTTGTCGCTTGTTGGCATATTCCGCTCGTTCAGATGCTCCTTCTCCTGCTACTCCTCTTCACGGATTTCCGTCAGCAGTCTTTCTTGGAATCCGTTTCCAAGAGACAACGACTCCTCATGCTGATGCCAGGCCCGTAATCTGCCATGGGCCCCTGTACCGCCTCCTCATGCTGATGCCAGGCCCGTAATCTGCCATGGGCCCCTGTACCGCCTCCTCATGCTGCTGCCAGGTCCAGAGTGTGTCATGGGTCCCTGTACGGCCTCCCATTGCTGCTGTCTCTATCGCCACACTCTGCCATGTGCCACTTTCAGGTCTCCTCACACTGCTGGTGGTTTCCATTTTTGTCATAGGGTGCTGTATGGCCTCCCATTGCTGCTGCCTCCACCGCCACACTGTGGCTCCACACTCTGGTTTTGGCCCCGTGACTGCCCAAATGAGTGAAGTGTGCGGTGATTCTAAGATCGACGGCACTCATCTGCATGTCATACTGACTGACAGTATTATTTCTCTTCCCCAGCAGACTCCAAGGGCATTTAAATTAAAGGTACAGTGTTCAGCACTAATATTAAGTCTCTCTGAAGCCTAGAAACACCCTTTTTTAAGTTAAATTCACAGCGAATATATTCGACTCGAATCGAAATTTTTCCACGAATTCGCCGAATCAGTCGAATCGAATTTTTGAATACTTCGCTCATCTCTAAACAAGATACATATGGAGGAATAAAAAACCAAGACTGTCATACGAACTGCTAAGTAGGAGGAAAGAAAGAGGGGGTT